AAAGCCAGGTTGCAGGCAAGCTGTAGTTTGTGTGCTGGAGCAGCAGCTTAAACTATTATGTGAGCAGGAATGAGCTGGGTGTCTTGTTAAAAACCGAGGATTCTGATTCAGGAGGTCTGAGGGTAGGACCTGAGAGTCTGCATTTCTGCCATGTTCCCAGGTGATGCTGATACTGAGAACCACCTGTTAAAGGCAAGATTTTGGAGTCCTCACTAGAAATCCTTATTTCCAGAATTTGTTGTGGTTGTTGCTGAATAATCACAAAGTTAGCTGAAAGTATCGAGTGTGTTTAACTAGAAGAAAAGGAAGACTATTTTCTTTAAGGCAAGTTTGCAGATTTGGCCTCAGTAAAATAGTGGTTTTCTGGTTGTGTAATGATGGTGCAAATAATAGTTATATAACTCAGAAAACCAAAGTACAAAACCAAAGTACTTCACTCTTGGCCTCAGTTTCCCCTGTATAGCATGATGATAATCCAGACCCAAAGATGGTTTGAGACTTGGAGAGAGCCTGAGAAGCCATTTAGACCAGTTTTTCTCAGGTGTGTGTGGTCTTACCCTTCTGTCTCTCCTCAGTGGGTTAAAAATGGAGGGTCCCAGGGCCCACCCAGAGCCACAGTGCCCACTGAGCCAGCCTGCAGACCTGCCTGGTCTCCAAGGCCCGAAATGATTCTTATGTGCACTGAGGCTGAGAAAACTTAATTGGCTAATGGTTTAGATAAGGGGACCAGGGTCCTTAAGGGCAAGCATTTGCCTGAGGTCTTCCAGTGAGACACAGCGCCATACCCAGAATTCTATTAAGGTAACAGATTTGAAACACTCCACGAAAAATGTAGCCATCGTTTTTTTGTTTTTTCTTCTTTTTAAGGGATAGAAAAGAGGGAAGTGGAATAAAGTAATAACAATAATAATCTGAATAGCTAACTTTCTCTTTTTTTTGGCCACATGACACAGTTTAGTTCCCCAGCTGGGGGGCTGAACCCTGGCCCTTGGCAGTGAGACTGCAGAGTCTTAGCCACTGGGCCACCAGGAAAGTCCCTGATAGCTAACTTTTTACCCCAGTGGAACCTACTACTAGGCTCCAGCCTCTTTACCTAACATACTAGTTATCTACCACTCCTGATTAATTACCCCCCAAACTTAGTGGTTTAAGACAACAAATATTCATTAACTTACAGTTTGTGAGAGTCAGGAATCTGGAAGCAGTTTACTGGTGTTTCTGGCTCAAGGTCTCTCACGGGAGGTGCAGTAACCACATTGTCCAGGGCTGTGGCCCTCTAAAGGTGGATCAGCTTCCAGGAGGGCTCCCTCACATGGCTGTTGGTTGAAGGGCTCAGTTCCTCACTGTGTGCACCTCTCCATAGGTTTGCTTGAGACTCCTTAGGACATGACAGCCAGTTTCCTCAGGAGTGAATGATCCTAGAGAGAGTAAGGCAGACAACACATGTCTTTTATGAGTTGGCCACCAAGTTCCCCTAACATCACTTCAGCCATATTTTACAAGACACACAGGCTAACCCTGAGACACTGTGGGATGAGACTACCCAAGGGCATAAATACCAGGAGTCAGAGATCATAGAAGAGAAGCAAAATGCAAAGGAGAAAAGAAAAGATATACCCATTTGAATGCAGAGTTCCAAAGAATAGCAAAGAGAGATAAGAAAACCTTCATCAATGATCAGTGTAAAGAAATAGAGAAAAACAATAGAATGGGAAAGACTAGAGATCTCTTCAAGAAAATTAGAGATACCAAGAGAACATTTCATGCAAAGATGGGCACAATAAAGGACAGAAATGGTAGGGACCTAACAGAAGCAGAAGATATTAAGAAAAGGTGGCAAGAATACACAGAAGAACTATACAAAAAAGGTCTTCACGACCCAGATAATCATGATGGTGTGATCACTCACCTAGAGCCAGACATCCTGGAATGCAAAGTTAAGTGGGTCTTAGGAAGCATCATACAAGCAAAGCTAGTGGAGGTGATGGAATTCCAGTTGAGCTATTTCAAATCCTAAAAGATGATGCTGTGAAAGTGCTGCATTCAATATGCCAGCAAATTTGGAGAACTCAGCAGTGGCCTCAGGACCGGAAAAGGTCAGTTTTCATTCCAATCCTAAAGAAAGGCAGCTCCAAAGAAGGCTCAAACTACCGCACAATTGCCCACATCTCACACCCAATTAAAGTAATGCTCAAAATTCTCCAAGTCAGGCTTCAATAGTATGTGAACGGTGAACTTCCAGATGTTCAAGCTGGATTTAGAAAAGGCAGAGGAACCAGAGATCAAATTGCCAACATCCACTGAATCATCAAAAAAGCAAGAGGGCTTCAGAAAAACATCTACTTCTGCTTTATTGACTATACCAAAGCCTTTGACTGTGTGGATCACCACAAACTGTGGAAAATTCTTAAAGAGATGGGAATACCACACCACCTGACCTGCCTCCTGAGAAATCTGTATGCAGGTCAGGAAGCAACAGTTAGAACTAGACATGGAACAACAGACTAGTTCCAAATAGAGAAAGGAGTATGTCAAGGCTGTATATTGTCACCCTGCTTATTTAACTTATATGAAGAGTACATCATGAGAAATGCTGGGCTGGATGAAGCACAAGCTGGAATCAAGATTGCCGGGAGATGGAAAGGGAAATGGCAACCCACTCCAGTATTCTTCCCTGGAGAATCCCAGGGACGGAGGAGCCTGGTGAGCTGCCATCTATGGGCTCGCACAGAGTCAGATCACTGAAGTGACTTAGCTGTAGCAGCAGCAGTGCCACGAAGTGAAAATATAGGTCACTAACTACAAACCGCCAAAGGGTTCCATTTCCACGTAAACCAAGGTCATACACGTTATGTCTGAACTTTTTTTTATTTTTGTCTTCATTCATATCTTGGTAGTTTTCCCTGCTTTCCAATAAAGTTCTTCTATGAGAGCTAAAAAAAAAAAAAAAGATTGCCAGGAGAAATACCAGTAACCTCAGATATGCAGATGACACCACTCTTATGGCAGAAAGTGAAGTGGAACTAAAGAGCCTCTTGATGAAAGCGAAAGAAGAGAGTGAAAAAGTTGGCTTAAAACTCAACATTCAGAAAACCAAGATCATGGCATCTGGTCCTATCACTTCATGGCAAATAGATGGGGAAACAGTGGAAACAGTGACATACTTTATTTTTCTGGGCTTCAAAATCACTGCAGATGATTTTTAAAAGATTTAAAAGACTTATTTTTCTGGGCTTCAAAATCACTGCAGATGATTTTTAAAAGATGATTTTAAAAGATTTAAAAGAAAGATTTTAAAAGATGATTTTTAAAAGATGCTTGCTCCTTGGAAGAAAAGTTATGACCAACCTAGACAGCATATTAAAAAGCAGAGACATTACTTTGTCAACAAAGCTCCATCTAGTCAAAGCTATGGTTTTTCCAGTAGTCACATATGAATGTGAGAGTTGGACTATAAAGAAAGCCGAGTGCTGAAGAATTGATGCCCTTGATCTGTGGTGTTGGAGAAGACTCTTAAGAGTCCCTTGGACTGCAAAGAGATCCAACTAGTCCATCCTAAAGGAAATCAGCCCTGAATATTCATTGGAAGGACTCATGCTGAAGCTGAAACTCCAATACTTTGGCCACCTGATAGGTAGAACTGGCTCATTTGAAAAGACCCTGCTGGTGGGAAAGATTTGAAGGCAGGAGGAGAAGGGGACGACAGAGGATGAGATGGTTGGATGGCATCACCGACTCAATGGACATGAGCTTGAGTAAACTCCGAGAGTTGGTGATGGACAGGGAGATGTGGCATGCTGCAGTCCATGGGGCTGCAAAGAGTTGAGCACGGCTGAGTGACTGAATTGAACTGAACTGAAGAGATCATGGGGCCATTTTGCATGCTGGCTGCTATGCTTAAAATAGCAATGAACACATATCCTGTGTTCATTGCCTTCACCAGCCTGGAGAGGAACTCTCATCCCCATTTTGCAGATATAGAAACCAAGGCACAAAGGAATTAAGTAAAGTTACTTACTCATGGTCACACAGCTACTAATTGCCAGAGCTGGGATCTGAAACCAGGTCTTATTTCCAGAGATTACAATAGAGGAAGTATTGGTATAAATAACCTTTGTTTGAAACCAAAGGAAGAACCCAGGGTTCTTCAACCAGCTGTATCAATCATCTGTTCACTCAACAAACTGTATTAAGCCCCTTCTCTGTGCCAGGCACTCACCATTCCATTTACTGGGGATGCAGCAGTGAACGGAACAGAGCTCATGTTCTGGGATCTTGCCTTCATGCCCTTGGTTTGTTAGATATCCTGGATATGGTAGTATATTGAGCCCACATGGAGAGTCCAGGAACCTGAGTTCTCTTACTGGCCCAGCTTTAGCTCACTGGGAACTCAGGCAAATTCTCTCCCTTTCTAGGGCTCCCTTTTCTAGGTGCTGCCTCTGAGGCACTTGGAATGTGACAGCGGTCTCTGTACTTCAGAATCACCATGGAAGCTTATTGGCCATAATAGACACCTCAGCCCTCTGGCTTGCTGACCAGAACCTATAGTTTTTAATAAGCTCCCAGGTGATTCTAATGCAGAGAGTGATCTTCTGATGCATAATTACCACCCCCAGATCAGCACTGCTCAGAGCATGCCCCCCTCCCACCAGATTTACTAGTGATTCTGAGACAAGGAAAAATCAGGATGTTGAAGGTGAAACTAGAAACCAGCATTTTAAACTTCCTTCTGAGGTGATTCGATACATTGTGTGCCAGATACTGCTAAAAAAACTTCCAGGGATTCTGTCCTTTAACACAACCACCTCTGAGATACAGAGACCCTGAGTTAACTCCACTGTACAATTTAGTAGAGTGAGACTCAGGCTACTGACGAGTCTGATGACAGCCCAATCTTGCCTTTCTCTCTGCCCTCTTGGGGCCCTGAGTGGGCCTGCATGCTAGTGGGTGTGGGGGTCCCTCTGCAGGACCTTGCTCATGGTCCCCTTTGTCTGTTTCAGAAGCACGAGTTCTCCGTGGATATGACCTGTGAAGGCTGTTCCAACGCAGTCACTCGAGTCCTCAACAAGCTAGGAGGTGAGTGAGTGGCCCTGGGTTGGGGGTGGGGTGGGGAGACTGGTACACTTATATTAAATGAATGCAGGCATGGAGCAGGAGAATCTTGAGTTTAAGCTGATCATAATAGTGAGACCAAAATGTACTGAGTTACTTAGCATGTGCCAAGTACTCTGCTTCATGGCGTCTGTGGATCATGTCATTTAATCCTCACCACAACCATTTCAGATAGTTTCTTTGACCATCTCAGTTTCAAGCAGGAGGGAACTGAAGTTCAGAGAGGTTGAATAACCTGTTGGGATCACATAGCCAGTAAATGACACAGCCAGTAAATTTGGCTTGGAGGAGCCCTTGCAGGACTAGTTACTATGTTCCATTCATCTCTACTGTGGTAACTTTTGTTATGTGATGCATTTGAGTGTCATTTTCTATTAAGATTTTTAAAGTTGTAACATTTTTTTTAAGTTGTAACATTTTAAGAAACAAACTTTCCATCAGTCATGCTGGCAGAACTTCTAAAGCACCCCTTTTGGGTGTATTTAGAAAACCATTCTCCAGTCCCCTCAGTTCTCATCTGGGGAAACTGAGGCCCAGAGTGGGCTAGAGTCTGGTCCTGGAGTTCCATGAGATAACGACAAGAGTTGTGATCAGAGTTCTGGGGGCAATCCGTCTTTTAAGATTCTCATTTCTAAAACCCTGGATAATAAATTTTCTTTCTTTTTTAGTTTATTTTTAATTGAAGGATAATTGTGTTATAATATTTTGTTGGTTTCTGCCATACATCAACATAAATTAGTCACAGGTATTCATATGCCCCCTCCTGCTTAAACCTTCCTCCAAACTCCCACTATTGTTGTTGTTCAGTCAAGTCATGTCCGACTCTTCTCAACCCAGTGGACTGTAGCACACCAGACCTTCCTGTCATCACCATCTCGGGGCGTCTGCCCAAGTTTGTGTCCATTGAATCAGACCTCCCACAATGATAACACCCAGTTTTCCAAGGGCTCTCGTGGGGTTGTCATCCTGTTAGCACTTAAAACAGTCCTCTGAGCTATACTTTCCATCTGTGGAATGGGGATGTTGACACCAGGCCCTAGAGGGGGAAGTGACTTGCCCAGAGTCCCATAGTGAGTCCACGGCTTATTTCTAGACTGTAAACTGGAACCTGAACTTGAAAAAATCTGAAACAATGGGGAAAACTTGACCACGAACTTCCTGTGTGACCATGGCCTCCTCTTCTGGGGCCTGGCTTTCCCAGCTATGGTATGGGAATGTCAGTCTCTTAGCTTTGCTCTGGATGCTTTAAGGTGAAACTCCATGGCTTACCTGGTGGTTCAGTGGTAAAGAATCTGCCTGCCTGTGCAGGAGACATGGATTCCATCCCTGGGCTGGGAAGATCCTACGTGCCACTGAGCATCTAAGCTCGTGCACTGCTGAGCCTGTGTTCTAGAACCGGGGAGCTGCAACTGCTGAGCCCACGTGCACAAGAGCCTGTGCTCCACAGCGAGAGAAGCCGCTGCAATGAGAAGCCTGTGCGCCGCAACTGGAGAGTAGCCCCCACTCCATAACCGGAGAAAAGCTTGCGCAGCAACCAAGTTCCAGCGCAGCCAAAAATAAATAAATGTCTTTTCTTTTCTAAAAGAGGGAAGCCCTGCTCAGAAGCCCCTATATACAAGCAGCAGGTCTGGATGAAGTGAGGGCTGGCCTGCTTTCACTCTTGCCGGCTCCAGAACACCTGCTTGGGGACGTAGGCTGCCAGAAACACAGCTTTGAAATCCTCTGGGTCGGATGATCCCAGAGTGTCTTCCAGCACTATGATGCCACCAGAATATTTACTCTGAAGAGGAGGGAAGCCCTTTTGAAGCAAAAGACAAAACCCAGAGTGCAGCCAGCCAGGCTGCACTGCCCTCAGCCCCTGGTGTCCAGTAGGTCCAGAGTCAGACGTTAGGACTAAATCCTGTGCTTTTTGAGGCCACTTCACTGGTGCGTGAGGACCTGCCTCTGAGCTTGGGCAGGTATCTCCCACCTCTCACTACTGTTCCCATTTTGGTGGCCACTTGAGAAGAGTCAGAAGGGTTTTCTGAGTCAGTCGGGCCACGGAGAGTCTGAAGAATCACAGATCAGTGGTATACTTGACCCGGAGAGCCCACAAGGGCTGGCTGACCCCAACTCCTTCATGTTCCGATGGGGAGACTGGGGCCTGTGATGGGTAGGACCCAGCCGGTCAGTAGTGAAGCCAGGCCTGGGACTCTGCCTTTGTTATTTCAACAAGATCTGTTTGTACCTACTTGCATATGCCACCAAGGGTCCTTAAATGGACACAGCTCTTTAGGAGGGCAGTTTTGCAATATCTGTGAACATTTAAAGTACACCAACATTTTGTCCCACAATTTCCATTTTATGAATTCATGGTATAGAAATATTTTCACAAGTTTTATAAGATATGTTCAAGTATGTCTACATTGTTTTGATCATAGTGAGAAATTGGAAGCAGCCCAGCGTCTTTTAGAGGGCACTGAGTAGATGCACGGTGTGTGTGCGCCGTTGCCCAGCTGTGTCCGACTCTTTGTGATCCCATGGACTGGAGGCCTCCAGGTTCCTCTGTCCATAAGATTCTCCAGGCAAGAATACTGGAATGGGCTGCCATTCCCTTCTCCAGGGGATCTTCCTCATTCAGGGATCAAACCTGAGTCTCTTGTGTCTCCTGCAGTGACAGACAGATTCTTTACCACTGGGCCACCTGGGAAGCCCTGTGATACAGTAACACTGTGGGATATGGTGTCGCTGTCAAAAAGAATGAAGTAAGTCTCTATATATGCTAAGATGGCAAGGTGTCCTGGACACTGGAAAGTGACATATAAGTAACTTGTTTACAGAGTATGATGCCACTTTGGAAAATGACTTTTCATGTGTCCATTAGGAGAAACACTGGATGGGACCCTATTGTTCAGTGATTCTTAGAGGCAGGAAATAGTAGGGGGCCTTCCAATTTCAAATTTTATTAAAAAATGTTTGCCTTTTTTTTTTTTAATGGTGTGTCTGGGGACTTCCCTGGCAGTCCAGTAGTTAAAACTTCATGCTTCCACTGCAGGGGGCACAGGTTGAACCCCTGGTCAGGGAACTAAGATCCCACAAACCACAGAATGTGGCCAAAAAAAAATTGGTATGTCTGTATTAATTTTGCAATTAAGAAAAAAAAAAATTTTAAGCCCTTATTTAAAGGAGGGATGGACAAATTATAGCCTTTGGGCCCACAGTCTGTTATTGCACAGCTGAGAATGGTTTTTACATTTTTTAGGCTTGTAAAACAATATGGGGCTTCCCAAGTGGCTCAAGTGGTAAAGATCTGCCTACCAATTCAGGAACCATGAGAGAAATGGGTTCGATCCCTGGGTCAGGAAGATCCCCCGGAGAAGGAAATGGCAACCCACTCCAAATTCTTGCCTGGCAAATCCCATGGGCAGAGGAGCCTGGCAGGCTGCAACACATGCATTCGCAAGAGAGTCAGACACAAAAGCGAAAGTCACTCAGTCATGTCCAACCCTGTGACCCCATGGACCAAACAATGCGTGGAATTCTCCAAGCCAGAATACTGGAGTGGGTAGCCTTTCCCTTCTCCAGAGGATCTTCCCAACCCAGGGATCAAACCCAGGTCTTCTGCATTGCAGGCAGATTCTTTGCCAGCTGAGCCACCAGGAAAGCCACAACACCACAAAACAATCTACAGAAGATGATGGGGCAGAGGCCATGCGGCTCACAGTTCTTAAACCATGGGCTCTCTGGCCCTTTTCAGAAGTTTGCCAGTACCTGGTCTAGAGGAGAGGGAAAGAGTCAAGGTGAACAATTCAGGAGCCTGACTGGGTACATGTCTGTCCTCCCCACCCCACTTCCTGCAGGAGTTCAATTTGACATTGACCTGCCCAACAAAAAGGTCTGCATCAACTCTGAGCACAGCGTGGACACTTTGCTGGAGACCCTGGGGAAAACAGGAAAGGCTGTCTCCTACCTCGGCCCCAAGTAGAGAGGCCCCATCCGGCAGCCTGCAGGATGGACCAACATGGGCAGGTGGGTGAGGCCCCGACACGGCCACCAAATATGTCATTACCCAGGGCAAACCACAAGCTCAGGGACTCCTTCCAGTCTCCTGCAAGCAGACAGAGCACTGCTTGATGTATCCTGGGGACCCCCGCTATGAGTTTGGGCTATAGTTCATGGTCAGCAGGGTTTAAATGTAAGCATCTGGCCCTGGGCAGTGTGTTGTTTACTTTGATAATATAACGGTCCCTTCAGAGACAATACTTACTCCCTGAACTTTGTTTACTGACCAGGTAAGTGAATTCACCTTGGCTTGCATCCCCAATTGGAACTGTTGTCAGCTTCCTGAGCATGGGCATTGCCCAGACTGGTGCAAAAACAGTGTGATCAGTTTGGTAGCTTCTTAAAGCCTACCATGTAACCCAGTCATTCCTTGCCTAGTATTTACTCAAGAGAAATGAGAAGCACTGTCCATGTGAAGGCTTGTAAATGCTGATAGTGGCTTTACTTGTAATAGCCAAAAGCTGGAAACAACCCAGCATCCATCACTAAGTAAGTAAACAAACTGTGGTATAGCCATATAATTGAATACTGTTGTCCATGCAACAACTTCAATGAATCTCACGTATAAAAGAAGTGAGTGAGAGAAACCAAGAAAAGGGAACATACTGTATGTTTTCATGTATAGAAAATTCTAAAAAAAAAAAAAAGAAAACTTGTCTGGTGAGGGTATGTGGGTGTATTCATCTGAGAAGTTACAGATCATCACATTATACACTAAAATACGTGTATAACATGACAGTATATACCCCCAATAAAGTCGTTAAAGGTGAAAAACAACAAAAACAAAACAGCAGTGTGTTTAAGCTGGCTGTTCCCTTTGATTTTACATAATCAAAGAAAGGCAGGTGGCACTGTGCCAGCACCCTTCACTGTGGAGCCAGGGCAGACTGTAGTCATCCGTTCAGCGTTCCTTCCCTCTGGGCGCAGGCGCAGTCTCAGTCCCCTTCAGAGCACAGCCCTCCCAGTGGTCACTCCCCGAGTGCCTCTAATGCGTGGATGACAACAATCACGATGTCCCTGATGTTGGCCAGGGCTCTCACTGTAATTAGGAAACATGCGGCCTGGAGAAGGGAAGTGACTTGACCGAAGCTTCACACAGATGAGTGCCAGGAGCAGGCTGCAAGTCAGGTGTCCAACTGTTCAGCGGCAGTTCGGCCACAGCCTCCTTCCTAAAGGTGGGTGTTGGAATCTGAGCCGTGGCGATGGCCTGTGTATCTGGTGACATCACATGCAGATCACAAGATGTCAGGTGTGTCTGTCTTCCTCTTCCCCTTTCTGCCCATGGATACAGCAGTGTTCAGGAATGAGCCCAGGATGAATAATCAGTGTTCCAGGAGTCTAGTTTTAGTTCTGCCCTCAGTTCACACTCTGACTTTGGACATTTGTCTTTTATTCCTGAGACCTAGTCCTCTGTCCTGTAAAATGGGGCTGTAACCTCTACCTTGCTTTACTGCCTTATGGGGGTTGCTATGATGTCCCTCTGAATATGAAGGATGATCTTTAAAGGGAGAGTAATGTTTCCACAATACCAGTGTTCATCATGGTGGTTCTTGTGTCCCTGGGGTTCTGGGAGGATGGGTGGGCCCCTGGGCCCCTCCATCTAACCTAAGTAGCCCTATTTTATATTGGGTATAAGATTGTGTTTATAAAAGTCTCAATGACAAGGATGGATGGAGGAAGGGAAAAGTTACTCAGTGGCTCCACACATGGGGGAGCCCCAGTGCAGACACTGAATTGGAAACTCCTGACTTGAGCATGTAAATTTTAACCGAAAAATTAATACCTGGACTTCCCTGGTGGTCCAGTGGTTCAGTGGCTAACATTCGGCACTCCCAATGCAGGGGAGCCAAGTTCAATTCCTGGCCAGGGAACTAGATCCCACATGCAGCAACCAAGACTCAACACAGCCAAATGAATAAAAATATATATATATATATAAAAGTAATACCTGCCAGTTGTAAACCATGTATAGCTTAACAGGTGCTTTTTCTCATAGTAGGCTCTTCTTTTTAAATTGAGATGAAATTCACATAACGTTCAGCTAACCATTGTCACATGTACCAGTCGTGGGCCTTGTACCTCCACTCTCATCTCAAAACTTTTGTCACACTGGGAAGACTCCCTGTACCCATTTAAGCTCACACTCATTCCCCACTGCCTCCTCTCTTCATCCCCCTGGCAACCACAAATCTGCTTTCTGCCCTTCTGGACTCACCTATTCTGGATGTTTCCCATAAAAGGAAACATTACATGACCTTTTGTGTCTGGCTTCTTTCACTCAGCATAATGTTTTCAGGATTCACTTGAAAACATTCTCAACATTCTCAGTTCTCATAGTAGTTTTCATTAATTTATCTATTTTAGCTTTTTTTTTTAAGTATAGGAAGTGTCAAAACTATGCAAGTAGCGTCGTAAAATGAATCTCCACATGCGCATCACCCAGATGCAACACTTAATTAGTCATTGCCATCATTTCATCCGTGGCCCACTCTCACCAGCCCCGTACTCACAGCAAACTCAGGCATCATGGAGTCCGGTCTGCACACCTGTCAGTAGTGATGTGTAACATGAAGAGGCTGCTGGAGGTTCATACGCACAGCACCGGGTATCGCTGATCAAGCCAGTTTTACTCCCACACACCAGGCAGCATCTGTCTCTGAGTCTGTTTTAAGAGGCTCCCCAGTGACTGATTCGAAGCCAGGTTCAGGAACCAGAGGATGAATGTTTATCGGTTATGAGGTCTCCTTCATCATCTGACTCTTAGCAAATTTGTTTGCTCATGGCTTTTTTTTGTTGCCGCCATCCCAGTATAAGTTGAAACAGGACAGAGGAAGTGCTCCAGCAGCCCTGGGAGAGCCCTAGAAGAGGGCCTCAGCAGTGATCGGCTTAGCAAGGTCAAGGCGTTCTTGTAGGAGCGGCGTGCAGGGCTGGACGTGGGGTTCAGTCCTACTCGGCACCTGGGCTTCCCACTTCACCCCCTGCAGCTGCCTCCTGGTGAATCTTTACTGCTTTTGTAATGTCTCCATGTGCACAGCAGATGGCGCCAGTGTTCCACCTCACTTCTCATTTCTTCCAGGATGCTGATCCCCTCCTGCCTTCCAGACAGACCTAGGACCTGGCAACCCCGCTCAGCAATGGTAGTTCCTGCGGAGACCCTCATTTACCCTGCTCCTCTGTGGCTCCCCTGCAATAAAGTCAAGGCGATTTTGCTGGTGGTACTGTCTCTTGCCTGGTCTTGTCACTTGCTTATGTGCTGTGCTGTGCAGTGGTGCTCTCATGTTGCTGTGAAGGAAATAACGACAGTGCTTCCTTGGGTTGGTGTTCTAACAGCTCCCAGGTCCAGTGGACTCTGAACCTTGGCTGTGTGAGCTTTTGCGGATCACTTGCCCTCTCTGGGCCTCACCTTTCCTCATCTATAAGTGAAGGTGTTGGCTTAGGTTGGTGATCCTCTTTCTTTTCACTACTTTCTTAGACTCTGTATATTGAAAAACTTTTGTCTGTCAAGTGAATGCATTTAAGGGATGTAAAATTGTATGGTAATGGGAATAATAATGGGAAGATGTGCTTGTGTATCAGAATAATGGGAAGAGAGAGATTGTCTGGGATAGAGTCCAAGCTCCACATCTCCCAGTTGGGCCACATAATCTCTTGGTGTCCACAGGCATAAAATGTGGTAACAGCATCTCTTGCAAATGGTGGTTGTGGGGATTAAATGGGATGACTCGTGTAAATCACTTAGAGAGTGCTTGCCATTTAGAAATCACTCAGTGAACATTCTCTATTCACGTACACTTTTTTGGTGTGTATTTAATTAATCAAGTATCTATAGAGATGGCAGTTAGAATCCCAGTCAGCCTAAAAGTTAGTGCCTACAGAGTTGATTCAGTTATATCAAAACAAAGGGAATGTTTTCATTTGTATAGCTTTATTTACTTTTTAAAAATACTTTCAAGCAGCAGCTTTCAAACTGTTTCATCTCAAGACCCTTTAACACTTGAAAATTTCTGAGTGTCTCAAAGAGTTTATGGTTATGTGGATTAGAAATTAAAACAGGAATGTTTGAAACACAGGAATACATAAGGACATCTCCCATGAGCCATTGGGGCGAGATGAGGTCATCGCACAGCATTTAGATCCTGGAAACTTCACTGCATGATTGTAAGAGAAAGGGGAGGAAAAGGCATCTTGTGGGAGCAGTTTTGACCTGGCATTCCTACTGAAAGGTCTCGGGAACCACATCACTGCTTTGATCAGTGACCTGAGATGAGACCTAGGTCTGCCTGTGGCCACCTGTGACCGTGGACCAGTCACCTCGTCTCTTCCAGACGCAGTTTCCTCATCTGTGCAGTGCACAGTATTGGTACCTCAGGGGCCTTAAGTAAGACTCTGCCAGCCCTAAACCTGTGCTAGTGTAATTCTGGCCCCGTCATGAGAGTACGAAAGCAAGTCTCAGCCATTTCTGCCTTTGTGGTCCCTCGGGCACAGGGGTTCTGCCAGCCCTCACGGTATCTAGGTGTCTTGGCCACAAGATGGCACTGTTCTTTGGCTTTGGTCATCATGGAGATGTTGAAGACCGTTTCTGTGGAATCTGGGAGTGCAGACTTGAGTTTTTCCATTTTCACAGCTTCCCAGGAGACCTGGTTGATGCTGGCTGGCCCACTGGGAACACCCAAGGATGGAGACATGGGTGCCTCTTGGGGTGAGCGGTCCTTGGAGGAGTTTCTTTCCTTTGATTTTTCTCCACCCCACTACTCCCTGCTGGAATCCAGGTTTCCAGCTGAGGCCCTAGGTTTCGCTCTTCAATGCCCCAAGCTGCTGGAGCCAATGAAATCCCACAGCAGGGTGTGTGTGTGTGTTGGGGAGCAAATGTCACCCCTGTGCTTGCCCCAGTGCCGGACCCCAGCCCGCCTGCTCAGCCTTCCCAGCCCACTCTGCAGCCAGCTGCATCTCCCAGCTGCCTTGCTTTTTGTTCACGCTACCTCAAGATGGAATGATCTCGCCTGCCTCCCCACCACCGCCTGTCTCCACGTACAAATTCCTTTCCCTCCCTTGCATACCACAGCCTCCATGAAACCTCCACAACTGGAAGTAATTTATCTCTCCTTTTGGCCCTCCCAGCATTTGTCCTCCTAGCTTCAGGGCTGAGGCAAAGCTTTTCATCCACGTGTCTTTCCTGTCCTCAACGATCAGGCCACACATCTGTTCCCTCAGTGCAGAAAGCAGGCACAGTGGGGACATTTGATGGATATGTAATGGCTGCTATTTGGGGGCTGTTTATTGTGCATCCTGCCCTTATATTTATGTCATTCATTTTTTAAAAAATTTATTTATCTTTTGATTGAAGGATAATTGCTTTACAGAATTTTGTTTTCTGTCAAACATTAGCATGAATGAGTCATAGATGTACATATGTCCCCTCCCTTTTGAACCTCCCTCCCTTGTCCCTCCCCATCCCAGCCCTCTAGGTCAATACAGAGCCCCTGTTTGAATTCCCTGAGCCATACAGCAGATTCCCATTGGCTATCTATTTTACATATGGTAATATAAGTTTTCATGTTACTCTTTCCATACATCTCACCCTCTCCTCCCCTCTCCCAGTGTCCATAAGACTGTTCTCTGTGTCTCCACTGCTGCCCTGGAAATAAATTCATCTGTATCATCTTTCTAGATTCCATATATATGTGTTACTTTACGATATTTATCTTTCTCTTTCTGACTTACTTCACTCTGTATGATAGTCTCTAGGTTCATCCACCTCATTAGAACTGATTCAAATGAGTTCCTTTTTATGGCTGAGTAATAGTCTGTTGTGTATATACCCCACAACTTCTTTATCCATTCATCTGTCAATGAACATCTAGGTTGCTTCCATGTTCTACCTATTATAAATAGTACTACAATAAACATTGGGGTACATGTGTCTTTTTCAATTTTGGATTCCTCAGGGTATATGCCTAGGAGTGGGATTGCTGGGTCATAAGGAGGTTTTATTCCTAGTTTTTTTAAGGAATCTCCATACCATCTTCCATAGTGGCTGCATCAATTTACATTCCCACCAACGGTGCAAGAAGGTTCCCTTTTCTCCCCACCCTCTCCAGCATTTATTGTTTGTAGACTTTTTGATGATGGCCGTTCTGACTGGTATGAGGTGATACCTTATTGTAGTTTTGATTTGCATTTCTCTAATAATATGACATTGATTTTTATCCAGTCCCTGTAAGACAGTGGACCAGGACAGACTCAGATATGGTAGATGTGTAGGAGGCATTCTTTGAGTTAATCTTACAGAAGCAGAAATTACCTGGTCTGATCCTTTTAGCAGGTTTATATTATTGTAAAAGGTCTCTGTGTGAATACAGCAGTCTGAATCCTCTCTTGGGGCTCACTATTCCAGGCTCCCATCACCTTTGCCTCTGTCCACCTTCCCCCCATGTCTTCCATGGCCAAAGCCTTACCTTGTCCAGTGCTGACATCCCCAGAGCTGGAGAGAAGCCACACAGGTCCTAGGGTGCTGGAGGCAGAGCCCCAGCAGATTCCAGTGGCTGGACTTAGGAGAGGGTAGCAGAGGGTCCACAGAGGGAGCCCCTCGACTCTGAGCGAGCTTGAACAAGTCATCTCCTGTCCGTGCCTCCTGTTAAGTAAAGTTTTTTATTTTTTATTTTTTGCAACTTTAACGAGGTATAACTTCATTTGATAAACGGCACACAACTTAAGCCTATATATAATATTAAAGGATATACGGAAATGCTCATGAAACCATCACCACAATCAGAGAGTTATGTTTATCACCTGGGAAACTCTCATCAGAACCCTTGGTAATCCTTCCACCCCTCCCTCCACCCCCAAAGCAGCCACCAGTCTGCTTTCTGCCACTATCAATCAGCGTTCAGTTCCTAGACTTTTATATAAATACACTCATACAAAATGGACTCATTTCTGTCTGGCTTTTCCCACTCACCACAGTGACTTTGAAATTCACTCATGTTATTGAGGTCTCAGTAGTTTATTTCTTCCTATCACTGAGTAATATGCCATTGCACAGCCATACCACAAAGTATTATTCATGCAACCGTTGATGGACACTGGACTTGTTTCCAGTTGTTTAAACTACTCTCTGGTGCTGGTCAGGTTCCACAATGGCTCCACAGGGCACAGGAATCAAACCAATGTAGATGCCAAACCAAGGCAGCTTAACATACAGGTCTAGCTACCCAGCTCCCTCCTCCAGCCCAGAGGCATTGAGCCACACTCTGGACTTGAACAGACCTGGGTTCAAATTCTACCTCCACTACTTACTAACTGCATGGCCTTGAGGGGAAAGTAATGGATTTTTCTGTGCAACTCACTTCCTCATCTGTAGAATGGGGATCATGATATATCTACCTCAGCTGGCTATTGTGAGATTATATAAGGTGGCTTATGTAAGATTCTGAGACTGAAATAAAAATGCCTAATGCCTGATGGTGGCATTCCACAAATCAAGTCTTTTGAACAAAATGTTTCACCGTTATACAATTTGAAGTTTGAAAACTAGAATTTGAAGATCTACAGATCTGGGTCCTTTCAACCCTGCAGACTATGAGAAGGAAAAATGGACCCTCAAGCTTTGCGCTGAGTGGGAGGAGAGCGGTGGTTGTTCAGGTCACAGCCCTCTCCATGGCATTCTCCTTTAATTACGGATGGTCTCTTCAAAAACACAAGCCTGTAATTTCTGGGGAGTGTCCCGCAGAGCTGCTTTTAGATTTCCGAGTCTTTAGGGGCTGTGGTCACTTAGTTTAAGTGGATGAGAGAGAGCTTGGGGAGCTTATCTGCTCCCCAAGAAGAGAAAGGTCTGCAGATCTCATGACTGCCAGTAAAAACTTTGAAAGAGAATATCAAAGCCTCTGGAAACAAGGATGCTATCCCCCACTGGTCTGTTCATCCTGGACTCTTAGCATCCTAGTCCTTTTAGAACTAAAAATCCCCAGACAGCTGGAAGCCAGCTGGATCTCAGATGAGAATGCAGGCTCTGCAGACAACAGATGGGTTCAGTGCCAGCCTGGCTGTTTCCTGGTGGCATGAGCTTGGGCAGGTTGCTTAACTGCCCTCAGGATCTCAGTTTTCTCATCTGTAAAATAATAACTATGCCTTTTACTCACAGTGAAATGAGATGAGGCATGCACACAGTGGGTGCTCAGCCTGGCTACTGTTAGCATCATTGCAGGGTTTTGGGGAAGAAGACCT